ACAGAGTGAGAGAAAAGTTTTAGTGTGTATTCTATGTTGTAGGAGTCAAGTAAAACAAATAGGAAAATTAGGGAAGCAATGCATCCAGAGGGACCTTGACACACTTGTGAGTTGGGCTGATGCCAAATTTATGAAGTTTAACCATGCCAAGTGCAAGGTCCTACACCTGGGTCGGAGCAATCCCAGGCACAGCTACAGGTTGGGCAGAGAAGAGATTCAGAGCAGCCCTGCAGAGAAGGACTTGGGGGGGTTGGTTGATGAGAAAATTAACATGAGTCAGCTTCTGTGTGCGCTTGCAGCCCAGAAAGCCAAGTGTATCCTGGGCTGCATCAAAAGGAGTGTGAGCAGCAGGTCGAAGGAGGTGATCCTGCCCCTCTACTCTGCTCTCGTGAGACCTCACTTGTAGTATTGTGTGCAGTTCTGGTGTCCTCAACATAAAAAGGACATGGAACTGTTGGAACAAGTCCAGAGAAGGGCCTTGAGGATGCTTAGGGGACTGGAGCACCTCCCGTATGAAGATAGGCTGAGAAAGTTGGGGCTGTTCAGCCTGGAGAAGAGAAGGCTGCGTGGAGACTTCGTAGCAGCCTTCCAGTATCTGAAGGGGGCCTACAAGGATGCTTGGGGAGGGACCCTTCATTAGGGACTGTAGTGATAGGACAAGGGGTAACAGGTTAAAACTTAAATAGAGGAAGTTTAGATTGGCTATAAGTAAGCAGTTCTTTACTGTGAGGGGGGTGAGGTACTGGAATGGGTTTCCCAAAGAAGTTGTGAATGCTCCATCCCTGGCGGTGTTCAAGGCTGGATTGAACAGAACCTTGGGCGACATGGTTTAGTATGAGGTGTCCCTCCCTGTGGCAGGGGGGTTAGAGCTACATGATCTTAAGGTCCTTTTCTACTCTTAAATATTTTATGATTCTATGCCCAGAATATATTAACCTGTGTTACTTCTGCCATCGTCATTACAGAGCTGACAGGGAAAAGCTAAATGGAAAAAAAAAAACAAACTAAGGCAATAGAAGGAGAAGAGAACAGTGTCCTGTGGAACTGTGTAATGGAAATAACAGTTCAAGATGTAAAATGTCAAGGAGATGTGGAAAAGGGAGTTTCTGAAAATGGCCTTAAAAGGGTTAGGTCAGGAGAGATACTTCACTGAAGGAACTAAAAACTGGATTAATAATTTGGGAAACTTCAGTGAAATCCAAGTATAATCTTGGGAGATGGTCTGTTATTGAAGGCCAACGTTGATGAACAACCGCCGTGATGCAATTTAATCTGCTCAAGTAGATGAAGGCAGATTTATTCTTTAGGTATGGCAATGTTCATGTTTTCATCATAACAGGGACATTTCTTACATTTCTACATCTATGTAGGATGTTTGTATTCTTCTTAAAGTGAAGCCTGATGGTAATGAAAGCATTCAGTACAGTAAGCTAGTAACTATTGCTATTCACATAGAAAGGTAATCGGGAGGCAGGATTGCTAGAATGTTGTATCTTTTTATCTGTGGAACAAATACTTCACAAACTTTGTTTCTTGAAACTTGTCTGTGTAAGTATATCTCCAGGACAAATAAATATGAAAGCAGCTCAGTTATAACAAATGTGAAATTTTTATAACTACAACTATAGTAATTAATGATCACTAAAGATCTCAAGGTGCTTTGATTCTGCTTTCACTTATGTTATTAAGTTGACGTGGAGCAAGGCACTTCATATCTCTGTATTTCAGTTTTAAGGAAATCAAGATGGGGACTAAATTAACATGCCAAAATTGAAGGTTCTTTTGAGTGCTTATGAAGCTGCAACTAACATACAGAATTAGTCACATAGGCAGGGGTGCTAGATAGTTGCTTAAAATGCATAGCCAGTATGAAATAAAACAGAAAATTACACATATTTTCTCATGTCAAAGTTTTGTATGCAAGAAAGTACAGATATGAGGGGGTAATCCTAAAAAAAATTATCACTGGAGTTTTCTTCTGGGATTGTATAATCCTTGATCATTCCTTTCTAAGAAACTAAAAGATGTCATAAGAATTAATGACTTTTTAACAGACTGGAGTCTGTTATGTAGCTGTTCACATCTGTGTAACTAATTTAGAAAGTAATACTGTTGTTCTTTATGTTCCAAAAGCTTATTCGCACCCTTCAGTGTAGTACATGTGGAGAGGTTGAACTTCTGGGAATCCACTGTATTTTTATGTAGTGGAAGAATTCAATTAGAAATATGATATTCTGTTTCATATTCTGTAATTTAAAGAAAGCAATTTGGAAAATATGAAACCTTTTTTGCTTAGTCATATTAGTTTTTTTACTGCTTAATATATTATCTCAAAACAGAAAGGTGCAAGGAGATGATGTTTACTGTGTAGTGTATCCTTTCAGGCAGAACATAATCAAACTACAAAATACCAGGATGTAGAAGCGGGTTGACTAATTCTTCATTTTAACCCATGGACAAAAGCTACAAAACACTGCAGAAATGCCTCAACCAAACCAGTCTTTCCTGAGATATTTCATCTGTGTTTGGTTGGGCTGTGCTGGGAGATAAGGGGCGCCTATTTGCTGTGGTCTGTCAAACCTCTGGTGATTTTGCTGCTAATAAACAAGCAGCTTTTGATTAGTTTCAACTGCTGAATGCAGTTCTCTCTTGTTACACAACTGGTGATCAGATCTGTATTCCACAAATAAGTGACTCTGAATGCAGCCTCCCATCAGAAAGGGGTTTGCTTTTTCTCTCCTTCTGTCTGCTTTGCAAGTAAATTATTCCTTCTATAGACCCATGTGGCTTGCTTCTCTCACCCTCAGTGACAGCAAAGCTCACTGGTTGGTGATCTCTGCAGGGGCTTATAGCTCAGCTCTGCTGTTCTCTCCCTCTGTTCCCACTTCTCTGTTCCCTCCCCTACTGTGTCTAAATAAATTACCTGTATGACATGTTCAGTTTTCTCTGGCAAGAAGCCTGGGAAATCAAATCTGTTCCCGAACCTGGGTCTCCCATTTGGCAAATGCAATGCCTCCCTGCTGTTAAATCAGGTCAGCTCTCAGGAAAAACAAAGAACAATTTCATATAACTATAATCAGCACAGGGTAAATTTAGATAATGCAACTGACATATGTTTATTGTAAAGATCAACAAGGAAATAATTCTAAAAGTACTTCATCTTCCTCTGTTGCATTAGGGTACATGTTGAATGTTCTATACATAGAGAAGATCAAACATTTTCTTTCTGTTATCCCATATCAAAGTGAAATATATTTATTTTCTGTGTGGTCTAAGAAGTTATTTGGTGAAGTGGTTCATTGGTTGCATTAGAAACAGTTTAATGTATTTAATTATGGTGGCTTTATGTAGTTAATATTAACTGATAATTAACTGTTAAGTACAATTAATTATATAGAATCATAGAATAGTTAGGGTTGGAAAGGATAATAAAATATATATTATTTATTCATAACCCATCCTGTCCCTTTGAAATGTTGGCTTCTGGAAGTGGAGATATACTGTTTAGAGAAGGAAAACCAAATCTTTTCAATTCATGTTCATTTTTCTACTTTTCTGCTTATTCCCTTTCCACTGGAGACCAGCAAGTCAGTAACAGGGTGGCAGCACCTCTGTCCTACATTACCAGAACTGTTATGAGCCCCGGCAGTCACACAGCACATGCTGTCCATGGGCAGCCTGCTGTCTTGCGTGCTGAGGCAGTCACCTTGCATGGGAGAAGCACCAATGTGGGCAGCCTTCCCTCTCCGTCTAGAAAATGCATTTCCAGCCCTCAGCTCTTCTGCATGTCCTGGAGTGGCTCTGAATTAAGCACTGTTATTTTGTTTATCCACTGTTAGCAAGCTGAATTAAACTTCAGGAGGATTGTGGAGCTTCTCCAGACCTGTTTGGGACAGAAGCATCTCCAGACCTTCTGTCTGGCTTTATTAGGATGGGCCTCTGGCCTGAGGAAGCAGAGTGGCTGGCTTCCTTTGGGCAAGCTGTGCACATGCAGGTGTGTTTAGGGGCTGAAACAGCTACTGAAACCTTGAGCTTACCCCCATCGCTCTTCAAAGAGAGGAGTAGGAAGTGCCAAATGCTTCTGGGGGACCCTCAGGGCTGGTGCAGTGCTAACTTATGAGCGCTCACTGTGCTGAGCTCCCAGGGGCCAACTTTGCTGCTGTTCATTCAAGAGGACTAGTGAAAGCAGGAATCAACAGCTGCCTTAGTCTTACACAGTCTTACCACCACCACTGACTAAATAGCTGCTGAATTATAGCTGGGGGCCTTGGCTGGAAACGTTTTCCAGCTCCAGCTGAATATTAGCTTGTCTTACTTTGGGGAGTCCTGAGAGTCCTGTTTTAAACTCAACTAACACTTCCTTCTCAAAAGAAAATGGGCTCAAATGTATATGCTGTATTTTTAAATAGTACGTGCTTTTCTAGATCTTTTTGAAGACAGCTACAGTGTTGTTAATAATTGTTTAGTCATTCATGGGTTGCCTTTGTTCTAACAAGTACCTTTGTTGTTTCTCCATTACCCTGAGATGTACAGTGAATGTTTTTTCATCAATTAAAAAAATGCTTCAAAACTCTATTGTATAAGACAAATCTTTGAAACAAAAGAAATTGCTTTTTATTGTCCAAAGTCTTAATCCAGTGTGCACAAGAAAGATTAAGAAGTAGAAGCAGTGAAGTGGGTTTTAAAAGACAGGAGCTCAGTTCCTGCTTCCCCCAGGAATGGCCTGAAGCAAGGGCTATAATCTCTGTCCACACTGGCTCCTGTCTGAATAAATGACAGCAGTAATGTTACATGTCCTCTGTCTTATCAATACAGATTGCAGATACTGTCTCCTTCCGTAAAGGTACAGGACCTGACTCTGAAAGGCTTCAGCTGATACTGTGATAGAAATAATTTCAGCTCTGTGCTAATTGCCTGTCTTGTTCCCTTCTTAGCATCTAAGTTTGTAAAAGGAATTGTTGAGCTTGTTCTAACCCTCCTTTATTTCTTGTCTTCTCCAGCCTGTGATCTGATGACTCTGGGGATCTTAGCCTTAGTGACATCCACTGGTTGTGCCTCGGCCAATGCCCTGCAGTCCCTGACAGATGCCATGCACATTCCACACCTTTTTGTACAGCGCAACACAGGAGGCTCCCCACGCACAGCCTGCCACCTGAACCCCAGCCTGGAGGAGGAGGAGTACACGCTGGCTGCCCGACCGCCGGTCCGCCTCAATGACGTTATGCTGAAACTGGTCACTGAGCTGCGGTGGCAGAAATTCATAGTATTTTATGACAGTGATTATGGTAAGTAAAGTGGAGAATTTCAGATGCTGTTAAATTGGTTTCTTCTTAACGGGGACATGGGGAGGAAAATATAATGGAAGAGGTGGGATATAGCTTTCTGGGTCCTTCATTGACAAAGGGGAAAGTGTTTCAAGTGGATGCAGGTCTTTGGTTTCAAGGAAAGGTTGCTGTGAAAACTAGTTCTCAGGCAAGCAGCAAAGTTGCTTAGCAACACCTACCAAGACAGCTGAAGTTTGAATCATCTCACACTTTTTCAGTAAAATATTAATGAAGTGTTGACATTGATTGGCAGGGGTCACAGCTGTGCAAGGAAGTTCAACATGGCCTCTACCCATTCCCAGAAAACACTTTCTATCAAAGCTGAGTACCATTCTCTTTAAAAATTAATTTTCATAATAACTATTTACAGTTTCTTTTTTCACATGCTTCCTCACACTGTTCTCCATTTGGGCTAAATTTCACAGTGATATACTTCCTGGCATTAAACCAAAGGTTGAGTTAATATTTTCCCTATATCTAAGGCATTTCCTTCAGCAAAATTTTTACTTTGGGGTGGAACTTGAGGAAAAGGAGTTTCTGCCCAAGCAAATTATGATGGGTGTAAAAAATGAATGGAAAAAATCTTTCATTGTGCCAAGCTCTTACAGTGAAAGGGAATTGTGTGTATAATTTCATTTTTATTTCACCCCTTCCACCAGCTCAACTGATACGAACACTGTTCCATAGATGTAATTCTGTCGTATTCTCAGGACTCGCATCTTAGGGTGTAGGATCTACAATAGATGTAAGGTAAAAAGATGTAATGGGGAAAATAAATGTTCTACAGTATATTTTAAGACCCTGCAGACACTTTTGGTTTAAAATGTGATGAGTAGCTTTTGGTGTTGGTGACTTATTATGAACAGAATACAAAGAAAGGCGACTAGGTTAAATTGCAGTTGGAAAAATAATCTTACGTGTATCTGTGCATGTAGTTTGGATCTTGTATCTAGTCTTCCACAATTGCAGAAGATTCATATTTGCATTCATCTCCTATAATGATAGATTTTCAGTGGTGAATCAGAGAGAAATAACATCTTTGGTTTTGAGGTTTGGCTACTCCTGGTTAAAAAAAAAAACCAACAACTCAAACAACAAAACCCAACCAACTGAACAACAACAGCAACAATAACAAAAAAACGGACTCCTAAGCTTGGATGAGTTCTGAAAGTCTTGGGTACAGCTTTCTATTCTCAGTTGTTAGAGATGTCACTGCTGTTTCTTTGACAGGTGGACCAAACATGATGAGGGTGATTTTAAGTGGGAAATCAACTGAAACTGTAGCATCCTTTAATTCTATAGAATTATTTTATGCATGAGAAGGCTGCCGTGATGCCTTCTCAGTCAAAAATTTAGCAAGCGAGCAAATAAACTGCCGTGTAATTACTGTCCTATGTAATGCTTGACCAGTGAATTGAAAGCAAAAACCACAAGCTATGTGGTAAGTATTCTTTTGGTGGCCTTCTGATAGCACTAAGAAAGTTGTTAAGTAGCAGAGGATTGGGTTTAAAAAGTTAAAATTATTCTAAGAGTTATTTCCAAGAATGAAAAAAAAGAAAAAGATCTTAAATGGATGCTTTACAACCATTCTTTTTATAGTTACTGTTGTTTTCAGCCTGCTGATTTGTAGCCTTAAACTTCCAGGACTGTTTGAGTTAGGGATCTTTCAACCTCTGGGTTGGGAATCCTAGCCCTGGTAATACCCCAGATGTTCTATGTATAAACTCCTGTTTACCCATTTTCCTTGGTAGCAAACCTGGTTACTGAACTGTGGTATCACCAGTTCCAGCAGTGCATCTGTGTCTTTGCCTTTTTCTGCAAAGAGTTAACATCTCAGTACCAAATCCTGAAACCCTTAATTCAAATACTGTGTAAAGTCAGTTATGATAAATTTATCTTTTCCATTTAACACAGACTGACCTTCAGTCCACATCAGTAAGACACTAAAAGGGGATGGAAAATTGCCACAGGTGTTCTGTTCCTTCCAGCTGAGAGTGCATTGTGTACTGCAGCTGCCTAAGTACTGTTTCCTTTCTTCCTCTTGGATGTGACAACCATCTTATACCCATTCCAATAGATGGTTTTTTTTGTTTTTTTTTTCATAAGAATTTGGTGTGAGGATTTTCTGTAATGAAACCAACTGAACCTTGCAAACTCTGGGTAGGCATTGGTGAAGAAGGGTTAAATAATCTAGGTCCCAGGAGATTGCGTGCTGTGCTCAAGAACAGCAGCCTGGCTCCCAGTGCATGCCCATTGCCCTCGTTATCTAGCTTCAGCAGAACCATGCTTACACATTTCCAGTCATAAAGAAGCAGTTAATTTAAAGAATACATGTTTGTGATTGCAGAGGGTTTCCAGCACTGAGCTTCTGTGGTTTGCTGTAATAAATGGTCCTTCTTTACCTGCTGTCTGGATATATTTATCTGGAAAATATACTATTTCCTTGAGTAATGTTCTAATTTCTCCATCTGCTGATCTCTTAAAAACCAGCCAATGCCTTAGTGTCCTCCTTGTGGATACTGTCAAGTTTTCTAAAAACAGAATAAACATGGCACAATTTAAAGAAGTCCCATGTTTATAGTAGTGCTGTTTTAAACTGGAACCAAAAATTGTTCACCTCAGGAATTACTTGTCCCTTAGCAGACATGCATTTTTGGATTATAATTGCCGCACTGGCTAAACTAAAGAAAAGTAACAGACTTGGCAATTAAAAATACGGAGCAGTCACTGAACAGCCTTACAAGCCCCTGAATCATCAATGCATAAAATAGTTAGGGTTGGAATGGACCTTAAAGGTCATCTAGTTCCAACCCCCCTGCCATGGGCAGGAACAGTGAATATTATACTTATGATAAAATACACATTGTTTTACACTCCTAACACTTACTTTACAGAAAGAAATCTGTATGCACAACTTCAGTGAAAGAATATGGTCCTTTCCAGTAAAATATCTCAAATTCTGCAACAAGAAATTGAGAGGTTTTGCAGGAAAGTTGCTGAAGTTTTAAAGAAAACAATTGCTAACTGGAAATGGTAGAAACAGGGTAAAAGCTGTGGTGTTCCACCTAATGTGAAACCAGCTTTTAGATTGTGTCACTTGTGGTAAAGAAATACATAACTGCAAGGATGAGTAATAGCTTGGTTCTGGAGAAGTGACCTTTCAAAGACCTCAGACTTAATTTTTACAGTATTCAGACTCTTCTTGATTATATGCTGTTGCACTGACCAGTACCAGTGGGGGAAAGTTCAGTTGACACATAACCATATAGTTCTGTATTTGCATAAGAAAAGATAAGGGTTGATGTCATACTGCATCTTCCTGACTCAACCCTTGTTTTGCTGTTTCTCTCACGGTTTGTGCGTAATTTCAGAGGATGCGTGGAAATTTATTCCACTTGATATATAAAAGGAGCTTTCTACTAATGAGACTGCTGCCTGATACAAAAATGATGACTAGGCACTATAGCAATTCAAGTCATAGATAAGTCTCCTGTCTTGCTGACGTGTTGCAGAGCTGATGGAGCTCAAGGCCAGAATGAGACAGTCTGATCCCTCTTTCTGTCACTGCCATGCCGTACCATCTTGAGAAGCCTCTCTAGTCCCTGTATATGCTTGCTTTTCCCATGTATGAAATGGAAAGTAAAACTTTCCTCCCAGTGTGACTGACCTGGTGTTTGAAATTTCTGTAGAAATTCTTTAGACAGCAGAATTAAGTGGCACAGTCAGGAATATGGCAATAACAGTAAGCGCTCAAGGGACCATGGTCATGATAGATACATTATTTTACTTTAAATGTCGTTATAAAAATGCCATGCTCAATTGTGGTATCTGACACTAATTTTCTGGGGAAAACACCAAGTTGATTCTATGTTTGTCAATGGCTGTCAGATGGTGCTCTGTGGAACTAGGTCTACTAACCCGTTAAAGAACCTGCAACGGAAATTAGATCTGTGTCATCCTAATCATCATCATTTTTGTCATCCAAATTGATTTCTCTTCAGTTGTTCTGATGTGTTATGAATTGCTACAGGAGCATCTTTTGTGCCTCTACATACATTGCATCAGTGTGTAAGGGTCTGCTGGGAAGTGTAAAGTTTTATTTTGCTGACCTCTTGGATGTAGAAGCATCAGTAATCACATTTTCTGACACAAAAATTGGTAGCATGACAAGTTTTGTAAATAATCTTACCAAGCTCTAAAGTTAGTATATGTTAAAAGCAGTGGGTGCTGCCCACAGTAAGATACAGTTGGGTAATAAACAGTTGAAAGTGTGCTTCTAGGGTGGGTAAATAAACCGGTGTACGGTTAGAGGAAAGATTTGAGAAGGATTTTGGAGGCTGGATGTGAAAGTGAAAACAGTGATGAATACCAAGTCATATTTTTGAAAGCAAATGTAATAGCTTTATTTTCATTAGTTTAATCTTCCTGTTGAAAAGCACTTTGTAGTTATATTGAGTCTCTCTGGTTTCCTGCGTACATGTGCACATGCCCATATTACAAAACATAAGATAGGTTTTTTGGTTGGTGTTTTGTTTGTTTGTTTTCTGTTGTTTTTTTTTTTGTGTTTTTCTTTTTTTCTAATGACTCCATTTTGTCAGTGAAAGCGAAACTAGATGTATGAAAAGGAGCTGTAATATTTTATTCTTAATTTTTGGTGTCAATAAGTGAGTGCTATCTGGTTAAGAAAAGTGTTATAAAAAATTTTTACTGAAGAAACTTTGAAAGAATATTGAACCTTTTAAATCTATCTATGGAACTTTGTAAGTACCTGGAAAAAAGCCAAACCCACCATGTATTCATTTATAAATGATTTTATTTTTTACGATTAGAGATTTTTTCTTTATGATAATTGATGCCACGTTAATTTTGAATTGTGCTATGTAAAAAGATCTTGATTTTTCAATATGCTGAGTTTCATACATTTTGTTTCTTACAATAATTATGTGACAGTTTTGAGTCCT